ATGGCATTTACTACAGTGTAATTATTTTTTGTTGTTGTTTTCTTTATTATTCATCTCCTCTAAGAAATTTGTCTGATTCACTCTTATGTAATATCTATCATGGGCCTCTCATAGGTAGGGATTCAGTAAATACTGGTGGAGTTATGCACCAGTGTTGATCACTCCTTCCACATAAACTGTCTCCAGGGCAACATCACAAACATTCCCAAAGCTGGACTCCTCAGCCTTCTACCTGCAATGCCAGGTAGCACCCACTTCCTTCACCTCGCCTTCATCTCCACAGCTGAGCTCTCAGCTACATATCTTCAAAGGACACAGAGACATCCCTATGCTAATCCCAGTGCAGCGTGAATTCAGTTAAAAGCACAGAGGAGGGGAGAGGGAGGGAGTTTAAAAATATATAATTACGATAAAATGAAGAAGCAAAATGTCAAAAAGAAATGGAATAATGTACCCTTTGCTTAATGGATAACAACTTGTAAAATCATTCTTAGCATTTGAAGGGAAAATGTCCTAGGATGGAATCTGGCATGGAACAGTCATGGGAAGAAGTTCCCTTTTGATCCCAAGTCTGTCACAACTATTTTCTCAGTGACTTACATGAAATAAAACTTTGTGGAGAAAACAATTCACAATTAGACTTCCTTTTAAGCAACAAGGGGAAGAAACAAACCTATGATTCATGGTACTCATACTCTAGCTGCATTCACAAGATTATAGTGCAGATAAGGAGCACACAAAGAAACATGGCCTTCAAATTCTCTTCTAAGACAACCAACTTAGGGACACTATGAACAGTCACAAAACAGAGGCCTGTTCAGGGGACAATTAAGTTATAACATTCAATATCACCTCATGCTCTATACCCACAGCCTCTTCTTCATGATTTGCACCCACTGTAAAGAATATTGTGCTTCTCCACACATCCTCATTTCTCCCCTTATCGCTAGAATGGCTCTGAAATGAACAATCAGAGAATTCTATAGAAACTCAGTGTGGTTGGTGTCCGTCCTGAGCACTGATGGAGTCTGAGAGCAAAGCTGAGTAGAGAGGCAATATTTAAGGCAAAGAGAATGACTGAAGAGTGAGCCTTTCTCTTCCCAGATTTTTAGGGACTCTAGGATTAGACAGAAATTCTTCTTCATCATCCAATCTGAGCCTCTCACTCTACTCTTTGCTCTCAATATGCTGAAGGACAATAAAAATGATATTAATCTAAGATTTATTAAGTGCATTGTAGTGATATTTGTTGGACTTTTCCTGGAAACAGTACCCCATAACAAATTCAGGAAGTTACCCCTTCATTATTGTGAGCAATATTGGTAGGACTGTCATTCAAAGTGCCCTTGTTCAGCCAAGCCGTAGGCACATGACACTAGCTAGGTGAATTGAGCTTCTGCTAAAACACCAATTCTCAGACAAGGTGACACAAGGATAAAAACATTAGGAATTGACCAGACTGCCAGCTAGCTGATCATAATGCATCTTGTCCCTTCTGGGCTTGGTTTTTAGCTGATTCTTTGATTCCTTGGGTTACTGTATAGCCTTCTAATGAAATCCAGTGTTTGCTTATAAGTCTCCTAGGACTGCCATAACAAAATACCACAAACTGGGCAGCCTGAAATGACAGAAAGTATTCTCTTACTGGAGAATTTTGAAAGTCATAAGTCTAAAATTGAGGTGGAATTGGTTCCTTCTGAAGGGTCTGAGAGAGAGAATCTACTCCATGGCTCTCTCCTAACTTCTGGAGGTTATTGGCAATCTTGGGTGCTCTGGCTTACAGGTGTACCATTCCAGTCTCTGCTTCCATCTTCTCATGGCCTTCTCCTTCGTGGGTCTGTGCCCAAATCTCCCTCTTCTTTATAAGGACACCAGTCATTGTATCAGGGTCCACTCTAACCAGGATGATTTTATTTTAACATTAGAAATATGGTCACAGTCAGAGATTCCAAGTAGATATGAATTTTAATGGAATACTACTTAACCTAATACAACCGAAACCAAAAAAAATCCCTAACTGATCTAATTACGCTCCTGTGGTAAGAGCAGGTTCTCGGCATTATCTGCTCTAATCTTGACCACAATGTTGAGGTGAGCATCTTTATTATCTTCATTTTAGAGGTAGAAAAATGAAAACCCCAAGGATCTGTTCGTGGTTACTGACCAGTAAGAGGTAGAGATAAGATTCAACATAAGGTGTAAGACCAGCAGTTGGTGTGAAAGTTAAGGCAGCTGGATTCCCACATGGCGGACTGCGTGCTTAAGCCCAAGACCTGGAGGTGTAAAAATCATGCTGGGCACATGTGCATGCAAACCTAAAATCCTGAGAGGAGAATGGGGGTGAAGAAACTGTGGCATGCCGTCCCCTGCGGGGCAATTTCTCACTTTCCCTCTTTATCTCTTTCTCTCTGGCAAGTACATGTGCCCTGTAGCAAATATTGGAAAGGAAAAAAAAAAAGTAACAGACCCGTTGTCTTAACAACTGTATTATATTCTATGATTTACCCCAGTTTTAAGTAAATCAATGTTCCTCCACCCCACAATGGCAAGCTATACAAGGAATATAGTTCACTTAGTAATTTGGGAATAGATATCTCCATGGCTACCCTCCCTGTACCTTGGTACTGAGTGACAACCAAAGTCATGAAAACATCACAGACCCAGGAAGAATCCCAAGAGAACCAAAGAATGGCTGCCATAATATTCTAGCCAGAAGTCTACATGGGAAGCAGTAGAAGGAAGAGACCTACCAAACTGTGGGTCATAGACAAGACTCTTGGCTAAATGAGAACTTGCTCAGAGGGCTCTGGTTGATCCATCCTTTGATGCTTTTTTTCTTTTTCTTTTTCTTTTTCTTTTTTTTTTTTTTTTTGAGGTTTTTTGCTATAGGGCATGTGCGCTCACCAGACAGACAGAGAGAGACAGAGAGACAGAAAGTGAGAAATCACCCCCCAGGGGGGATGACCACACCCCAATCCCTTTTTCCTCCATTCTCCTCTTGGGATCTTGGGCATGCACGTACATGCACCCAGCGTGAGTTTAAGCCTCTGGGTCCGGGACTCGAACCGCGGTCGACTACGTGGGAGTCTAGCAACATAGCCATTATGCTAACTGCTAGTCCCCATCCTTTGATGCTTTAGGACAAATTCAGACATTCCCAAAAACCTCCAAAGGATGAGGGGAGCCATATTATTTAAAAATCTAGACCCAGGATTTGTTAGATGTTGACTTTAGAAGACTGATCCTCCCTTATCCATCGAATAATTCCTCCTCACCTCCAAGGATTCTGTGACCCAAATGCTCCCTAGGGTCCTGGAAGGAGATAATGACATGTGGCACTAAAGGCAGGCCAGAACATCTTAATTTAAAAATGAGTATATGTACGTTGAACTCCAAACACAGAGAGAAGTCATGTAGGTAGAGGACGGTGTTATTTGTACCTCATCAAAGCTGAACCAGTGTCTGAAAAGATTTCAATCAACAACAGGGGTTCGCTTTGTGATTGTTCTTGTTCTTATAATATACTACATAATCTTCATGGAAATATTGAAAAGAGACAAGCAAGGGATCAGAAGATGGCATAATGATTATGTCTCTGGACTCCTACATAGTCAACTGTGGTTCAAGTCCCAGATCCAGGGACTTAAAAGTCATGCTGGGGGCATGTGTGTCCATGCCCAAGATCCCAACTGGAGAATGGAGGAGAAAGGATTGCAGTGTAGCCTTCCCCTCTAGGGGGTGATTTCTTGCTTTCTATCCAGCGAGCACATGTGCCATATAGCAAAAATCTCTTTAAAGAAAAAAAAGTGGTGGGACCAGCAGTTAGCGTAATGGCTATGTCACTGGACTCCCACTTAGTCAACCGCAGTTCGCGTTCCGGACCTAGTGGCTTAAAACTCACGCCGGGCACATGTGTGTGCGTGCCCAAGATCCGGAGAGGAGAATGGAGGAGGAGGGATTGCGGTGTGACCATCACCCCTGGGGGGGTGATTTCTCGCTTTCTGTCTCTATGTCTCTCTCTGTCTGTCTGGCAAGCGCACGTGCCCTATAACAAAAAAGAACTCTCAAAAAAAAAAGAAAAGAAAAAAAAGTGGCCTGCTGGTGGCGTGGTGGTTAAGGATGCTGGACTCCCACATGGCTGACCACAGTTTGAGTCCCAAACCTGGCAACTTGCTTTCTCACTTTCCCTCTCTCTCTCTCACTCTGTTCCTCTCTGGTTAAATTAAAAATAAATAAATAAAGTAAAAAAAAAAAAAAAAGAGAGAGAGAGAGAGAGAGAAGCAAAAAGAAAATAGAAATTATGCATTAGCCTACCATCTGAAGACAGTTAATGCAAACATTTATATTCGTATCCTTCCAAGTTTCTAAGTATTCCCCCCAACAATAAAGGTATCTAATATGCTTACCTTTGCAATCTGCTTCTTGAACCAAAATAGACCCAAAACATCTTCTCATCCCATTTCATGTTATATTCTACAATATGACTTTTCATGGCCATCTAATAATTCGTCATGGTGGCCCCCTGTTGAGCATTTAGGTTTTTGCTGTAATAAGCAATGCTGCCAGATTCAATGTTCTGGCTAAATATTTGCACATGATTTATTTTATTGGACTGAACTCCAAAAAAAATGTTATTACCAAAAGCTATGTAACACTTGGGGTTCTTTTTATATGTATCACTAAACCATCCATCAGGAAGCGTATACCAACTTACACTCCCACCAACGATGGATGAGGGAGCCCATTTTGAGCATCTTGGCTGACAGAGGATTTTGCCATTTAAGAAATCTTCGACGGCACCACTTATTCTATGAAAGCATCCACATCATTGAAAAGCAAGATTTTTCCATCCAAGAAGTGCATTGGAGCCTCTAGAAGATTAATCCAATTATTCTGAAACCATTTCATTTCTGTCCTCGTGCCTGGTGTAGCTCTTTCACTCACTGATATCTCGGGAAAGAAAATAGTAAGGGGAAACTTAAATGAAGAGGAAAACGTACAGATTCTTCTATCTCTGCAGACACTGAAGAGGCCAGTGCTCCAGTCCCCACCGGTCTGGACAATCGCTGTGACTGTGGTCCTACTGCTGGCTCCATGGACAGGTTGCTCCACCACAGCACGGGCTGATGCGTGGCTCCTGGAGAGTCAAGGATGATGATTAACTTGGAAACGAAGATGTTTCCAAACATAATCTTTGAGCCGAGACAGGAAAAAAGAGGAGGTAGGGACTTGGTACCAGCAGATAGTGTAATGATTATGTCGCTGGACTCCCACATAGTTGACTATGGGTCAAGTCCTGGACCCAGCGGCATAAAACTCATGCCGGGCACGTGTGCTTGTATGCCCAAAATCCTGAGAGAAGAGTGGAGGAGAAAGGATTGTAGCATGGCCATCCCTCCTGGGGGGGATTTCTTGCTCTCTGTCTGTCTCTCTGGTGAGCACATGCACCCTATAGCAAAAATAAAAAAATAAAAAGAGTTGCCGGCAGGTGGCATGGTGGTTAAGGGCACTGGACTCCCAAACGGCCGATCACAGTTCGAGTCCCAGACCTGGCAGCTTGCTTACTCACTTTCCCTCTCTCTCCCTCTTCTCTCTCCGGTCAAATGAAAGTAAACCAAGAAATAAATAAATAAATCCTTAAAAAAAGAGAGAGCGAGCGAAGATAGGGACTCAGTGGTGCCAACGGACTCATAAGACATAGCCCAAAAGGACTTCACTGTCTCCCTCCCTCTTTATCAAACCTTCTCCTTGGACATTTTGCCGTTTCTATTAATGACATTATTCCAAATCCTGTTACTCAAATTCAATATCCAATCTACTTCCTCAGTTAAGTCACAAATTCAGAACCAGGAGGCCTCAGGTCAAATCTAGCAGGCCACTTCCAAGAGGCTTGACCTTTGGCCTTTCATTGGTTCAGATATACCTCACGCATTATCACACTGCCTAGAGGACATACAATTCACTTTCTTGGTATAGCCAAGAGGGTAACAAGATGACCCTGAGTGAAGTGTACCTCCGAAGGTTTTAGTCGTTGTTGAAGCGAGGCTGATAAGGAACTGGACTGGGTAGGCACACTGAAACCTGGACTAGGCAGTTAGGTTGAACACACGGTGTCACTGAAGTGGAAAATCCAGACCTCACAACACATCTTGATACCAAACTGCTGTATGATTGTCCTAGGAGGACCACACCGTATAACTCTGGGGATATTCCCTGAAAGGAATGAATATTCCCATTGTCAACCATTCTGAATTAGGAGATGAAAGGAGCTGGTCTTCAAAAATGAAGCTTTCTTTCTAAGACTTAACTCATGCTTGAGTTCCAACCATGGGGATGCCGGGAGTGATTACCATACTGAAGGGTAGGCTGCACCTGGCCTCATAAAGGGGTAGGTCAAGAGTGAGAAAGAGGGGCCCTGGAATGATGTCTGACACTGTACAGTGTGGTAATTACGTATTCTATCTTGAGCTGTCTTTTGGCAAGCCTCGTTAAGTATTTACACCTGGTCTCTTACGTGCACTGAATTAAAAACCTGCCTCACACTTGAGACAAAATAAACAAAATACAGCAGGATTTCTTCCTGTAACAGTTATTGTTGCGAAATAGTCACCAAAGTTCAGCCCCTGGGGCACATGGCATGGAGGTCAGAGTCGTACATCCCTAACCACCCTTAAGGCAACATCCTGGGGGCATCTTGAAACAGCAAGGGTTCCCTTTGAGGATGTCTGATTTCTGGCAGTAAAGCCAATGGTATTTTATGATATCATAAGTTGGCTTGTTCTTGCTATTAAGAACCACTTTCTTTTTAAAAAAAAAAATGGCTTACCTATTTGTTTTGACTTTTTAAAAAGAATTATTTAATTTTATCTGTTATTATTTTTCAATTTGCTATAGGTACATGTACTCACCAGAGAGACATGGGCGCAGGGAGGGGAGAGAGAAGGAAAGTGAAAAAGCTGCCAGGTGTAGAACTCAAACCATGGTCAGCCCTGTGGGAGTCTAGCACCTTAACCACTACACCACCTGCTGGTCCCAAGTTTGTTGTGATTTTCAAGTTGCCAGGTCTGGAATTCAAACCACAGCTGGCCCTGTGGTAATACAACACCTTAATCACCACACCACCTGCTGACACAAGAGCCACATCTCTTTTTCCTTCCACCAGTAACTAACCAGCTCCATACCTTACCAAACAGCACATGAGCTTGTTAAAAAAATAAGGGGGGAGGGGGCAGGTGGCATGGTGCTTAAAGGCACTGGACTCCCACATGGCCAACCGCCACTGGAATCTCAGACCTGGCAGCTTGCTTTCTCACTTTTCCTCTGTCTCTCTTCATCAAGTGTACATGCTCTCTGGCAAAGTAAAAAGAAAAATGGAAAGAAGGAAAGAAAGCTGGATCTTACAAGGGGAAATTTTAAAAAGTTGGATCTCAGATGACTGACTACACCTTGAGTCCTGCCACAGGTGGCTTGAAAAATATTCCAGGCATGTGCTTTTGTGTGCCCCAAATCCTAGGGCTAGAGAAATGGAGGAGACTGCAGCATAGCCAAGCACCATTGAGGATTCCTCCTCTCTCTCTCTCTCTCCTTTCTCTCTCATGAGTGCATGAGAGAGATAAAAACAAATAAAAATAAAAAATCTGGTTTAAAGAAAATATCCCAAACCTTACCACAGCCTAGCTGTACAGGTCATCCAAGCATGGAGTATAGAAATCAGTTTCATGGGGACCATCAGGTAGCATGGTGGTTAAGGTGCTGGACACTCCCACATGGTCAACTATGGTTCGAGTTCCAGACCTAGTGGCTTGCTTTCTCACTTTCCCTCTCTCTCTCTCTCTCTCTGTGTGTGTGTGTGTGTGTTTATCGTTGGTCATATTTTAAAAATAATAAAATGAATAAATGAAGTTAAATAATTCTTTTTAAAAAATCAGTTTCATAAGATCCTCAGGTAATTTTTATGCACGCATCCCAATGGGAGAGTACTTCAAATAGTTCATAGAAAAAAATGGAATTAAAGTATTACTTTATTTTGGTGCAAAACAATTTTGGAATCCACGTGTAGTTTTTTCATGATGCGCATTTTCCATGAATTTTGTGGCGATGCCCCTCATACTATCCTGATGCCTGATAGCAGTGGATGTGCACCACAGTGATGGTGACTGCAATAGTTTCCAAGTCTCCTGCTAACTAGGCAGTGACGTCACGTAACAGAGACAGCAAGGAAAATAGGAAGCAGGCTGGAAAAGATGCATGGCATATACCCAGTCTCCAGTGCCAGTGAGACATGGAGAGATATCTACCAAATCTGGAGCTGCTGCACTAGCTCCCAGAAGAGAAGTCAGGGTGGGGACCAGCAGGTGGCGTGGTGGTTAAGGCGCTGGACACTCCCACATGGCCGACCACAGTTCAAGTCCTGGACCTGGTGGCTTGCTTTCCCACTTTCTTTCCCTCTCTCTCTCTCTGGTCAAATTAAAAAATAAATAAATAAATAAATAAAATTAAAAAAAAAAGAGAGAGAGAGAAGTCAGGGTGCCAGTGACCTGTTTGTAAGTGTGAAGTGGAGCTTGCAATGCTCCCAGCCCTTTTATCCATTATCCATGTTATAGCTCATACCTAGGCTCTAAAGAGCTTTTCAAGAGCTGACATAAGTGTTTGAGACCTGAAAAACAGAAGTGGCTCCAAAATATTAAAACTGCAAAATAGGGCCAGCCAGCGGGGTAGTGAGTAAAGAGACTGGATCCCACATAGCTGACTGCACAGTTCAAGTCTGGGACCTGGTGGCTTGAAAAACATGCTGGGCATGTGTGCATGTGTGCCCAAAATTCCAAGATGAGAATGAAGAAAGGATTGCAGTGGGCCATCCTCCCTTGGGAGTACTTTCTCACTCTCTCTCTTTCTCTCTTTCTCTATCTCCCCAGTGAGCCCATCTGCCTTACAGCAAAATTTTTTAAGCTGCAGAATATTAATTAATGATCAGTTAAATGTAAAACCTAGTATATTTATTTCATTGTCAAATTTAGAATACACAAACATTACATTGAAGCATTTTATATGTTCTCTTGTCTTACAGAAAATTTCAAGTATGAGTGGTTGTAAAGTTAGCCATAAATTAAACGAATTACTCATAGCCAAATAATTTTTCTTTTGGAGAGGTTTTATGCAATAGGGCGCGTGCACTCACCAGAAAGACAGAGAGACAGAAAGTGAGAAATCACCCCCCTAAGGGGGATGGCCACACCGTAATCCCTTCTCCTCCATTCTCCTCTCAGGATCTTGGGCACGCACACATGCACCCGGTGTGAGTTTAAGCCACTGGGTCCAGGACTCGAACCACAGTCAACTGCATGGGAGTCCAGAGACACAGGCATTACGCTAACTGCTGGTCCCATAGCCAAGTAATTTCAAAAGCAAAAATAAAAATTCATTTACTTTTAGTTTTAAAGAATTATTTATTTCCATTTGTTATTATTTTTTTAATTTGACCAGAGACAGAGAGAGAGAAAGGGTAAGTAGGAAAGCAAGCCCAGGACTCAAACCACAGTCGGCTATGTGGGAATCCAGCATCTTTAACCACCATGCCACCTGCTGGCCCTAATTCATTTACTTTTAAATAGCTGGGGAAAAGAATAAGCTAGCCACAGTGGCACAAAAGTAATGAAAGCTTCCCACAGCTGAGGATATAAGGGCGTGTCCTGAGTTCACATCCTGAGGCGTCCCTGTGGCTGGTGAGGGAGGGAGTATGATCATGGCATGAATAAGACCCTGCTGGGGTTGCCTCTCTCTTTCTTATGGAAGAAATAAACTTAAAGATGTTTTTAATGTGTGTGTGTGTGTGTGTGTGTGTGTGTGTGTACGGGTATAACCTGTGGTATGGGTACATTTTACTTTGTTTTTTAGGATGTGAGTGAGGGCCTGTTGCTGTGGACTGAACTGTGTTCCCCAAAATTCATATGTTGAAGTCCTAGCTACAGTGTGATCATATTTGATAAAAGGGCTCTTAGGAGGTAATTAAGGTTAAGTGAGGTCACAGGGGTGGAATCCTGGTTTCATAGGACTGGTGGTCTTATAAAAAAGGTACATGCAAGGACCAGCAGTTAGCATAATGGCTATGTCACTGGACTCCCACATGGCCAACCACAGTTCAACTCCCAGACCCAGTGGCTTGAAAATCTCACCAGAGGGGGAACCAGCAGTGAGCGTAATGGCTATGTCGCTGGACTCCCACGTAGTTGACCACAGTTCACGTCCTGGACCTGGTGGCTTAAAACTCAGGCCGGGCGCGTGTGCGTGCATGCCCAAGATCCCAAGAGGAGAAGGGATTGCGGCGTGACCATCCCCCCTGGGGGGTAATTTCTCACTTTCCCTCTCACCCCTTGGCTTCTGTCTGGCAAGTGCACGCGCCCTATAGCGAAAACCTCTCAAAAAAAAAAAGAAAAAAGAAAAGAAAATCACACCGGATGGATGTGTGCGTATGCCCAAGATCCCGGGAGGAGAATGGAGAAGGGATTGCGGCGTGACCATCCCCCCTGGGGGGTAATTTCTCACTTTCCCTCTCACCCCTTGGCTTCTGTCTGGCAAGTGCACGCGCCCTATAGCGAAAACCTCTCAAAAAAAAAAAAAAAGAAAAAAGAAAAGAAAATCACACCGGATGGATTTGTGCGTATGCCCAAGATCCCGGGAAGAGAATGGAGAAGAGACTGCAGCATGGCCAACCCCCCAGGAGGTAATTTCTCACTTTCCCTCTGTATCTGTCCTTTCTCTCTCTAGCAAGCACACACTCTATGACAAAACAAACAAACAGACAGACAGACAAAAAACCTTGAATCCTTTGCTTTCTTTCTCCCCAATTTAGGCCAGGCAGAATGGCTCCCGCAAAGAGTGGCGAGAAGGGCCATTCTGCCAAGAACGAGGTGGTGACCCGGGAATACACTATCAACATTCACAAGCGCATCCATGGCATGGGCTTCAAGAAACGTGCCCCTCGGGGACTCAGAGAAATCTGGAAATTTGCCATGAAGGAGATGGGGACTCCAGATGTGCGCATTGATACCAAGCTCAACAAAGCTGTCTGGGTCAAAGAAATAGGGACGTCCCGCATCAAATCCGTGTGCGGTTGTCCAGAAAACAAAATGAGGATGAAGATTCACCCAACAAGCTCTACACTCTGGTGACCTACGTACCTGTTACCACTTTCAAAAATCTATAGTCAATGTGGGGACCAGCAGTTAGCATAATGGCTATGTCACTGGACTCCCACATAGTCGACCATGGTTCGTGTCCCAGACCC